GCAGTCACCACTGCACGGCCCAGACTGGCACTGAGGGCTGCCAGTTTCTGTGGGAAAGAAGGAGGGCTCAGGGCTGCAGGTAGGACTCTGGGTGTGCTTCCAGGGTGGGGAGGGGCAGTGGCCACAATTTTGGGCTATCAGTGCGTTTAGGTTCTGAGGACAATCCCTGAGACCACCCAGAGCCACTCCCCACACCCCCACTTTAAGTCAGAATCTTAGAGGCACAGGGATCAAGGGCCACCTTTCTGAAGAGACGCCTCTCTCACCTCCATAGAGCTCTCAGTGTCCAGCGCATAGGTCCCCTCGCTGGCCTCTGCCTCTCCTTGGGTCTGACCCTCGAGCTGGTAGACAAAGGCATGGTCAGAGGAAAGAGGACAGCCACCATGTGGAGAAAGAAAGGCTATGGCCCCTGCACCATGGGGAGAAGGGGCTGGGCAGGGGCCCTACCTTGGGGGGGTAGTGGAGGTTCAGTGACTGGTAAAGGCGGAAGTTGACGAAGCCCAGCAGGGTGGTGTAGAACTCGGTGAAGGTGGCCATGACCCTGTAGTCCACATCTGTCGGGTGCTGGGGGGCACAGAAGGCGTGTCAGCAGGGATGGGGTAAAACAGTAACTGACAACACACAAATAGGCCATGTTTGACCGTAAGTTCCTTGAGAATGGCCCTGTCCTTGTGGCTATGCCCAGGGTAAGAGGTTGTGTGGTATGACCCCATCCAGGGGCACTCTGCACACAAATGAGGTTCTGGAAAGGTGGCCCAAGGGCTGGGGATATCCTGGTGGCCAGTGCCAGGCCCCTAGGCCATAAACGGGGACCTGGGAGTGAGAAAGGGGACACTGGGCCATGCTGTTCCCGTGATTGGCTGGTCCGCCCTCTCCCTACTCTAGCCCCTCCCCCTTCCCATCTCAGCTAACTTTTGTCCTTGGAGAGACCAAAGGCTCTCCCTGACCTGGCCAAAGCTCATGCCTTCCCCACCAGCCCTCCCAGTCTCTGTTCAGTGCCTGCTCCAGGGTTAGGCTGTGAGCGCCAAGGGACAGCCCTCCCAGGGCCCAACAGAACGGCTGACAGAACCTTGGTGACTGAGGCACCTTGGGAAGGCTGGCCCAGCTGGGGCAGTGGGTGGACAGGACCCAGCCCACTCATGCCCTGGCAAGGGTCTAAGGACAGATACTCAGAGGTCAGCAATCCTTCCTTGGCCCAAACCTGGTATGAAGGCACAACCCCGGGGCCTGGGACCAGCTGGACAGCTCAGCCCCAGGAGTTCTTGGGAATGGCAGGAGAGAAACTACTTGCTTGGGGCACAGACACAGAGCCACCCCACAAGCTGCCAGCCCAGCAGGCAGGGGACATGGAGGGCTCACCTTTGCCCTTGGCCTAACACAAAACAAAAGAGGGTAAAGAGCTGGGACTAAGACCAAAGCACTTCAATTGGAGTGGTACTGTCCCCGCTGAGGCTGGGACTTGGATGCCAGGAATGAGGCCCTGGGGAATTGTGCTCAGGACTAAGTGGTCTCTCCACCCTGCTGCCAGGCAGTGACCTGTGCTGTGTGGGCTCAGGGGACAAGAGGTGTCCTGCCTGCCCCCCGGCTCACACCTCTATCCTGCCACACTCATCTACCAGGGCCCCACAGGCCTGGCAGGCACCCTGGCATACCTAACCCATTTCCCACACATACAACCAAGCAGGGCACCCCCACCGGCCCCCACAACCAGCCCAGGTCCCACTGTGACAAGGCCCAGTACTACCTGCTCAGAGGTGGGGTACACCAGGGCCTCACTACACCCCAGCACCAATCCTCCCACTCCACTGAGAGGAAGCAGTGCAGGGAGGAAGGAGGAAAGAGGGCCTGGCGTGCCCTTCCCCCAGGCCCAGCTGCGGGGAGGCCAGCCCTCCACAGGGCCCTATTCACCACTGAGGACAGACAAAGACCAGTCTGAGCGGCCTAGGGTGGGACATCAGAGCGAAGGAAGGCGAGGGCGGGCCAGTGAGGAAGGCAGGAAGGAAGGAGGAACAGAAAGGGAAGAGGGACATGCCACAGACTCTGGCCACCCACGCCAGCCCCAGGGAATGAGATCAGGGACTGCCGAGGGCCAGGCCCGCGCTCTCCCACCAATAGACGGCAGCCTCGCCACTGAGCGTCAGCTGCAGCCAGGGCAGTTTCTGCCCTCCACCCCCGAGCCCACAGCCATGGGAGCAGCCCAAGAGCCCAGACCACCCCGCCCCAGGGCTCACCACAGAGCACCAAGCCACTGTCCAGTCAGGCTGGCAGCACCTGCCCTCTGAGGCACAGCAGGAAGTGGCAATGCAAGCTGGCCAGGGGGCCCTCCGAGACTCGATGCCGGAGTCTGAGACTCCCCACCAACAATCCCCAAGCTCAGAAAGGAGCAGGACCTCGGCTTCAGTGCGTCCCTTGTGCTCTCCCTTTCCCCGGCCTCCCTGACTCCTGGCTCTGTGGGGTGCATAGGGCAGGAGAGGGGATGCAGAGGAGGGAAGCGAGGAGCTCAGCGAAAGTCTGGCAGCACCAGCAGCAGGGTGGGGACAAGGACCCCAATGGCCTGAGGACAGGGCCTGGCTGTTTACTCAGTGCCCTAAAGGGCTGGGCACTTTCAGTAAGATTTTTTTCCTTTAAATCCTCACAGCAAGGTTGAGAAGGGGACACACACTGTTAACTGAGGCACAGAGAGGTGAAGGGTTGTGCCCAAGGTCACTCAGCTGGGGGAACTGGAGCAGGGGTGGCTCGCGGGGTCCCCATTCTTAATAGCGATGCTGTGTTACCTGTTTCCACATCCCTCTCTGGGCCAACAACTAGACTCTGGTATATATCAGACTCTGCAGGACGAGGCTCCTCGCCCCTGCCCCCCTATGCTTGCCCAGCCGACGCCCTCCCCAGGCACACTCACGTCGTGGGAGAAGGTGTAGGGGGTGATCCACACGATGGGCTGCCCCAGCACCTCCACCTGGTAGTAAATGCCTTTGATGGACAGGAAGACCTGGGAGGAGGTCAGATGGCAGGTGAAGATCGTGAGATGGCAAGGAGGGCCGGAGAGGCGGGGCCCCAGGTGCCCGGCTCACCTTGCGCAGGGCCCGGGCAGCAATGACGTAGTGCATGAACTCCACAGAGAGCCGGCGGCACAGCTGGATGGTGTGCACGTGGCACTTGCCGGTCCGCGGGAAGGTGGAGAAGAGGAAGCACATAGACAGGGCGTCGTCCAGGTCCCGCAGGGCGTCGATGAAAGTGGGGTACCTGCCCGGCCGGGAGGACAGCACTCAGGCTCGTGTAGCCTGGACTGTAAGGGCCCCGATCTCCTGACCTACCCTATCAGTGGCCCGGTTCCCAGGCCAGGCCTGGCCACTGTCACCTCCTGACCTGGCAGCACCAGCTTCTCCAGAGGAGGTAGACCAGAGAACAGCCCCAGGAGGAAGCCCTTAACCAGGTGTGCCCATTTAGCTCTGAGGACCAGAGAAACCCCAAACGGGGTCCCCAAGACAACCACTGCTCAGCCAAGTCTAGCCTTGACCCTCTTCTGTATCTGTGGTGAGAGAGACACGAAGTCAGGGGTTCTCTCTCTCTCTTTTTTTAAGTTTATTTATTTTTCCATGAGTGAGAGGTAGAGAGAGAAAGATCCACCCCTAACAAGATCCTTTCCATCTTGTCTTTTTCTAAGATTTGCAAGCGAGTACGCGCACTCACCTCCATTTCTCCATCCTGTTGGGACTTGGGACACACATGCACACATACTGGTTTTTTTTCAAGCTGACAGGTCCTGGATTCAAACTACACAGTTGGCCACATGGGCTGGCGTCCCAACAGGGTCTTGACACCTTCGTCCACCCCCAACATCAGACAGCCCTGGGTCATGTCATGCACACACACACACACACAGTGAACTTGGAGGTCTCCAGACATGAACCAGGAACCTTCCCCTGTGGGTCAGCTTCACAGAGCATCGTGTTTTACCATCATGCCAGACCATGTCTGGTCCTCTCACTCTCTCAGAGTGAAATCTTCATTTCAAAGGCAGTCTACTGGGAGGTCCTAGATGAAAGACGGAAATATGCAAAGCAGCCCCAGTGGCTGGGGCAGAGGACTGAGATACTTCTCCTGAGAGGTGCTGTCTCAGCCTGGCCACAGGTCCCCAGAGTGAGTTCTCTCTTCCTGGTTTCTCCTCACCCAGTCCTCTGTCTAGTTGGCAAAACCAATCACAATCAGGGGATTAAAATGTTGGAATGGTGTCCCGGCCCAGAAAGAGACCAGGAAGCCTTGGCAAGTGAAGAAGTCAATGAGTCACACTTGTGATCCTTGCCCAAGGACTGGGAGCATGTGGCTGCCCTGCTAAGGGACAGAGGCATGGGTCTCAGAAAGGACACTGCACTATAAGGAATAACCCCTGGATTCCAGCCCTGCCCTGCACTGTGACCAAGGGCAAGTCTCTCTGCCTGAGCCCCAGCTCCGTCACTGTTGGACTAGACTGCTGGTTTCACACTGGGCTCTCGGAATGCCCTAGAAATGCCCTGGCACAAGTGGCCAGACAGGGCTTCTAGCCTCCCTCCCCCAGCCAGGGCAGCTGCCAGGGCCTCTGGCATCCAAACTGCCTTCTAGGAAGCTTCCTCCTGAAGAAAGGGCTCTTGCTATTTTGAATAGGACTCTGAACAGCACAGGGCCAGAGATGGCCAAGATCTTGCCAGCCTCAGAGGGCATCTCTCACTACAGGTCTCGGTCTCACTCCCGGCTGCATCCCTGGTGCTAGGATGGAGCCCAGCATAGAATCAACAGATGGCAAGAGCTGCCTGGTCTTCGAACCCAGGTCAAGACAGAGACGGGCAGTTCACAGGGTCCTCAGAGCAGCAGGGAAGCCATCTAGTTTCCAAGTGCAGAGGTGGAAACCTCAATTGTCCCTCTCTGGTGCCTTGTGGTTTCCTAACTCCCCACCTCAGACAACCCCATAAGCTGGAGCCCTGGAGAAGCAGCACCAGCCATTTCTGAGCCACCTGCTTTTCTTTCTTCAGCTCTGGTTTTGGCTAAAGTGAGGATGAAGTGGGACCAGGACACTGCCACCAGGTATGTGCAAATCCAGGCACTAGGTTTTTTTCTTGTGCAGTTTTTCCATTTGTGCCTTCCAACAGCTGTCTGTCACAGGCTGGACAGGGACAATCATCTCTGAACGTCACCACACGGACCTTTGGGCCAGGCTGCTCTGGGTTGAGACTATTCTGTGCACTGCAGGTTATTCGGCAGTAGCCTTGGCCACCAGATCCTTCACCCAAGTCGTGAGGACCCAGAGAGCCTCCAGGTGACGTCCTGAGGGACACCACCCCAGTTAAGAATCACCATTTTACAGACCAGCTCCATGGCAAAGTGGTAATGTACTGTTCAAGAGAAGCTGGATCCCACATGGCAACTGTGGTTCAAATCCCCAGCTCCGTCAGCCTGAAACAAGCTGGGTGTGTTTCTGAGCACCTGTGTTCTAACAGGCTGGAGGGCTGGGGGAAAGACAGTGTGACTGGACTCTGCAGAGGGTGCTTCTCTCTCTCTCTTTCACTTCACACTCACATGCATAGAATGTACTCTATCATGAACAAAGAGAAAGAGTCTTCAAAAACCACAATGTCAGCCGACGAACAAGGGAAGGTCAGGCAAGGAGAGGTTAAGATCAGAGGTCTAGTCACACCTTCCGGGTCTCACCAGGTACATGTACAGGCTCAGAGCTCTGGCCCCCCACCACAGGGCCTCTGCACTTGCTTTTGCCCCTGTGAACTGTGCTTCCCCTGGCTGGCTCAAATGTCTCCACGTCTCCTCTCAGAGAGTCCTCCTCCGACGAGCCTGGTTCCCTTCACACTATTCATATCCCTGTGGCACTCGCTGTAACTTGTAATCATTATTGTGATCTGTCAATTTGCTGTTTGGTCTGGCTCCCCAAAAAGGATGAAGCAGTTTAGACGGGATACTGGTCTTGCCCCAGCTGTATGCCCGGAACTAGGACAGCGCCCAGCACTAAATGAACAGACAGCAGTGTTCTGGGAGCGCCTGACTCACCGCTCCTTGACGATGTGGTCAAGTTTGTAGTTAGGCTTATTGTCCTTCAGACGCTCCACAGTGTTCCACTCACTCTTCCCATACGCCTTCCGGAGCTTCCGGACAAAGACCTAGAAGAGAGAAAAAAACTGTGGATGCCGAGGCCAAGGCCTCCTGGACACCTTTTTCCATGAAGGACAGAAGGACTTTGAAAGCCACAGGAAAATTCTTCATGCCTCCTGAAGCTGGCCACAGCTGTCTATTGTGCAACCAGCCCCAGGATGTGCAGAACAACCAACCCAAGGGCACTGAGACTGACCTATGCTAACGAGCAAAGCTAGACCAGGGCACTCCTTTTGACGCCACACAGGGCCGATCACTCTCTGACTCTACATGCTTGTATGGAAGGAGAACCGAAGTCAACTAACCTGCCACTGAGGCAGATCAGGGTCAGAAGGGCCCGATTCCATTCCCCACACCAGTTCGTGTCAGCATGAAACAAGCTGCAGGACTGTGTGTGCCACTGAGTCATCTAGAAAGATGCAGCTGAGAGGCCAGCAGGTGGAAAGGTGGTTAAGGTACTGGACACTCCCATATGGCTGACCACGGTTCAAGTCCCAGACCTGGTGGTTTGCTTTTGCACTTTCCTTCTCTGAGTGTTTGTCTTTCTCTGGTCAAATTAAAATAAATGAATGAATAAGTAAAATTAAATAAATAATTCTTTTTAAAAAAATGAAAAAGAAAGAGCCTCCAAACCAATATATTTTTCTGCCTTGAGTACAGCAGTCCCCCTGACCTATAGGGGATATGTTCAAAGGCCCCCAGCAGTTGCCCGAAACCAAAGATAGCACTGGACTCTGTATCTATTACATTTTTCTAACCTGGTAACCAAGATGGCTACCAAGGGACTAGCCGGTGGGCAGCGTATACAGTACAGACGGCTGGACAAAGATGATTCACGTCCCAGGTGGGATGGCATGACATTTCATCATGCTACTTAGCACAGTAATATAATTTTAAACTCATAAATTGTTTATTTCTGGAATCTCCCACAGAATATCTTCAGAAGACAGGTAACTAAAATCATGGAAACCTGTCTTTGAGGGTTCTTAGAGGCTGCCTCTGCAAGGGCTATGAACGGCAGCTCTGAGACAGCCATTTCCCTCCACGCCCCCCCTCCAACACAGTGAGTTTCCATAGCTGTAACCCAGCAGTGAAATAGATCCAGCCACCCACCTCGCGGGGGTTGGGCAACAGGGCCAGCAGCCACGGGCCACTGGTTGGCACCTGCTCCTCCTGGAGTCAGGGCGAGAGCTCAGTCAAGCCTGCTCAGGGTTGGTGGTTTCAGAAGTAGCAGGCTACCTTCCATTAGCTACTTGCGATGATGTGCATTTGGTATAAATAGGTTTCTGCTTTCCCTGTGCTACTGGAGCATTTAACGATTTCTATTTGGGCACGAAAGGCTTGGTCTTCCTGGGAGAAATCTCAGAAACCATCAGAATAGGAGCCATTTCTTCAGGATGTGAATACACCAGAAAAACCCCTGAAAGGACACCATCTTTGTTTGCTTCAGGCACAGAAACTTTCATCTTTTCAAAAGAATCGGGGGGAACCAGCAGTTAGCGTAATGGCTATGTCGCTGGACTCCCACGTGGTCGACCGCAATTCACGTGTCCTGGACCCAGTGGCTTAAAACTCACGCCGGCCGCGTGTGCGTGCGTGCCCAAGATCCCGAGAGGAAAATGGAGGAGAAGGGATTGCGGCATGACCATCCCCCCTGGGGGGGGTGATTTCTCGCTTTCTGTCTCTATGTCTCTCTCTATCTGTCTGGCAAGCACACGCGCCCTATAGCGGAAACC